TGCCATTTTCTGGGCCGTGTTCACAGGATTTTCTTGTTTTCTGGTTGTCGCGAGTGAAAGAGGTTTTATGTCTCTTCGAGAATCTGTAGTTCAGTTCAAAACAAGGAAGAACCTCCGGCTCACTTTAAAAAACGCTTTTGTTTGTTTTTAACTCTTCAAAAAGTGACAATGAATGGTTTTGAAAACATTTTAAAATGACATTGTAGAAAACCTTTTTTGCATGTTGTTGTGTTAGAATTTGACGATAGTTGTTACGTAGATGCGAAACAATATCGCTTAGCCTCGTTTTCAACTCGCAATTCCACACTAAATACCTCGCTTCGTTAACCAATCAGAATGCGAGATTTTACTTAATTATGCGATTCACATGAATATACCATCCTCGTTCTACTTGACTTGTCTGCGGCGTTTGACACCATCGATCATCAAGTGTCATTGAATAGGTTACATTAGAGATTTGGCTTTAGAGATCTGGCTCTTAAATGGCTTGCTTGGTATCTAGCGGACCGCAGACAATCAGTCCATATAAGATCTGTTGTCTCAGTAGATAGTCAGCTGCGTTTTGGAGTTCCATAAGAGTCAGTCCAGGGACCTGTCCTACTTTCCATGTATGTTGCTACGGGTGGAGGATACTGTGCTTTCTCACTGCCTCTATACTATGTTCTACGCTGACGATAATCAGATTTACCTCACAGTGTGGCTCAGCAATAGAAATGCAACTATCAGTAAAATTGAAGATTGTATAAGCCACATGATTGGTTTGTACTCCAACAACTTCCTGCTTTGCAACACAGCCAAGACCAAGTTATCCACTTTTCTTCAAAGTTTCTCAACACCGACCTCATCTCTTCCATAAATATTGGTGCTAATACTATCAAATTGGAATCTGCAGTAGGCGATCTTGGTGTCGTTTTGGATAAACATTTTGTCAACCGAAGTCACTGATATCTGCAAATCGGCGTCCTTAGCAATACGTAATATTGGAAAGATTAGAAATTACTTAGACCAACCCATTGCAGAAAAGCTTGTCCACGCCTTTGTAACAAGTAAAATTGACTTTTGCAACAGTCTCCTGTATGGACTCTCGAAAAAGCAGCTTGATAAATTGCAACATATTCTAAATACCGCTGCTAGAATTAATAAAAAGACTCAAAACTTTCAGCATATTTCTTCGGTATTGCTCAATCTGCATTGGCTCCCTGTTACCAAAAGGATTGAATTTAAGATTCTAACCATAACCCACAAAGCACTGAATGGAATGGCCCTGTCCTACATTTGTGATCTACCGCAGGTTCATCACCCCAACAGAAATCTTCGTTCTGCATCGAGGAGTCTATCATTGGTAGTACCTATTCATCAGACACAGGCGTACGATGCTCGCTCTTTCTCTGTAGCTGCACTTACTCTCTGGAATTCCTTGTCAGTACTGACATTAAAAGCGCGCAAACTTTCAGTCTCCTTAAAAGAAAGCTCAAAACATTTTTTATTCAATCAATTTTAATTCAGTTTGTATATTTATTATATTTTGTTTCTTACATTTGTAAAGTGCACTGAGAGGTAGCTGCACTCTATAAGAATTTTATTATTACTAGGGGTAATCGGAGCTTAGGAGAATGCATTCGATATGTTTGCTAGGCGTACAGGTAGTAGTGGAGGGGAAAGGGTGGATGGTTCTTGCGATAGATAACTGTGATTGTGGTATATTTTGAACGTAAGGGTTCCGTCCAGCGAAACCTCGATTTAAACTGTGTATGATAACGAAAAGGTTTTGAAGGCTAGTGGTCAGCGTGATTTCGTATGGTTCGTCTCAAGTGCTTGTTATTTGAGGAGACACTGGCCAGAGTGCTTCGGGCGCATAAAGAACTTTTTGTTTTACTGGCGCAATAGATGTTCTACAGGGCGCAGTTGTTCGAAGACCGATCAGCGCTTAACCCAGGTTTCTTTTTCTTATGTTAAAAAACACTTCTTTTGATAATTTTCTCAGTTATTTTTGAGAGTGTCCAATCATCAACATGTTGGCAAAATAAAGCTTTCACATCTGAGTTCAAATTTCGCACTAACCCTCCTCGCCTAGGTTATCTTAACCCAGTTTTGAACAACCCGGCCCAGGTACTGTTAAAAAGCAAACAGTTGACAAAGTTTTAGATGTAATCATTAATTTTAGTTAATATTGTTAATGTTAATTCCACATGTAGACAATTACTGAAATTTACTATAAAATGCCGGAAATCGTTACTGGCAAGTGTTCTTAACTTGCGATGATATTAACGACCCAAGACCACATTTTTGTGGTGAATGCCGGGGCACAATGATTGTGTTTGAACACTGGTTCACTTACACTACACCTCTCAATTTCACACTTTTCAAGGGAATCATCAAAGCCTTCAGTGGAATGTGTGTGCGGCTCACGTCAATAACTTTTCCAGTAATTTGGTCGAGTGTATTGATTTCAGTGACTTGAGTGGCGCTACTGTGGGCTGGTCACGTTTTTCCGAATAAATAACATAGAGCTAAAATGTTCGTTTGTGCAGTGCCGAAAATATCACAAGTCATGATGAAATGGCGCCGCCGAGCTTCACATCTCGGTAGACTTACTTTGTGGAATAACGGCCACCGCCGAGCTTCACATCTCGGTAGATTTACTTTGTAGAATAACGGCAGCCGAACTACACAATTGGGTAGATTTAAAGTCTGTGGCACTACGGCCGCCTAGCTACAGAACTCAGTAGATTTACTTTGTGGCACAACAGACGCTGAGCTTCACAACCCGGTTTGCTGCATGCACCAGGAGTAGTACGCATTTTCCAAAGAAAAATATGAAGGCTCAATTAATCCAAAGTAAAATTTTACTCAGAGTGTAAACTTTCAGCACACTTTTGAAAGATTAACGCTTTGGAAGATTTATTAAACACAGATCGATGGTAGACCTTCAGCAAACTCTTAAATATGAACGCTTTACGAAGATTCAGCGCACTTTTAAAAGATGAACGACAAAATAGCAGATCTCAGCAAACGTTTGAAAGATGAACGCCGAGGACACACGAATCAATGCGTGAGTTAGCGCGTCAAAGTGAGGCAAAACGTAAGCAAGCGCCTCAAAGCGAGGCAAATGTGTGTCGACGACGACGACGAATGCAATCTCGAAAAAACCTCCCATATTAATTGCAAAGGACACCCAATAATGCACAGAACACCCAACACAAGTTAGGGGTTACGTTCTCGAACCTCGAACGCAATTATTATTATTATTATTATCATTATTATTATTATTATTATTATTATTATTATTATTATTATTATTATTATTATTATTATTATTATAAAGTCGATAACCAGTCCTGGAAAGTAACCGTAACTAAAAAAATTTCTATTACGGGCGCATTACTAGAGCGCAGTGTACACTGGGATTTTAAGAGAAGATCTCGATGCCCAAGCTTAAGAATGTTTAACCGAGTATTTCTAGTATTAATAGTATAGTTAGCCAGCTGAGCTCAAGGAGGTCCCGCTCTGAGCAGAAACGATTCAAGACAAAAGCACTGAGCAACAGCATTCTGGCTGAACGCGTTGTATTCATTTCTGCAAAAATGCGGGAAGTGGATAAGTGACGGAGTCATTTAAAAGTTAAGTTTGGAAGGGACAAGAGGCTGTAACACCGTTTGCAGAATTTTGTTCTCAGAATTTTCTCCTCTCAAACCCTTCCTTCTCCCGAGAATTGTTAAGTGACAACAAACAGCAAAAAAAAAAAAAAAAAGATTAAATGATCAATTCAAGATCAACTCGAAGAGCAACTCAAATTCCAGCTAGAACCCTCTCTCCCCCGAAGAGGCTGTGGCCATCGCTGGGTATTCCAAGTCGTCCCCGCGACGAGAAAGAGTCCTCTGAGAAGGAGACCTTTTGGGGCCGGATCCAGAATCATAAGCTGCTCACAGACCTACTATTTTCTCTTTACGGATCATCGAACGCGCGTATGAAAACAAGGGACCAGTCATTATTTATCGCCTAGCGGGAGCGGAGGATTTGGGGCTAAACTGAGGTGAAATTTAGCAGATCCCCCCTTTGAATGTTACTTCACTGAAGTGCCCCCCCAAGAACGTTTGATGACTTTCGCGATCCCCTACCACGTCTTCATTTTCCAAGCAAACTTGAGTGGTCCCCCCTCTGAATCCTTCCAAAGTTTTGAGCGATTCCCCCTTTTGGGTTCTCAGTAACGGCTGACCCCCCTTTTGCTTTCCTAAAAATCAAGTGATCCCACTAAAATCCTCCCCCCGCCCCCACCTCCAGGTGATAAATGATGAACGGTCCCTAAAAACCGCGGTGGATTTATTAACCGCTAACTTTGCTCGCGCGCTCGTTGATTTTTCAAAAGAAAATGGAAACGACGTTTGTGTACGAGCTACCAAGATTAAGAAAAGGGGCCGGGAAACTGATCAGGTTTTTACTTAATGATTTTATTTGGAATTCTTGAACAATAATTCAGATCATGGACAGGCTACTCTAGAAACTGACTCACGTATAATACCTTTCGTAAATAAATGGGTTATTGACTATTTCAACACGTCCAGTAACTATATTTTCAAGTTAATTCACTTAAACCTTAACTGGGCTAAGACCAGCAGATCCCTAGCTCTTGGGCTGACTAGCCACAAAGACAAAGATCTTGAGAGATATACATGTGTGTAGTAGAGTTCTTTACAAGTCAAAAATGCATAACATGGTCAGATATTACCTCCCTGATGATGACTATGATAGTACGCTCTTTATCGTCCTTTGATTTGACAACTTATTACTGCTAATTACTCAGTTAACAGATTTTTTTTTCTTTGGGGGGAGGGGGCAAAAAAGAACGGCTGTGCTGTAAAAAAATTGTTTATAGGTCAACCGCCACCCACCCTCCCCATCTACCATAAGGAGTTCTATATGAGCTCGTGCGTAAAAGGAAAAAAGGCTGGCTACGGTACTGTCTACTGTGACGATCGATGTTTGGTCGGAGTACTTTTTAGTTAACCATTCTTTAATGCATAGATGTCATCAATGGAACACGATCCGAACGAAAAGGAAGAATATGAAGTTCTTTCTTTATGACGGTATTTCCTCTGGTAAGAGGATGTTTCCATTGTGAATGAACTAACTATCTGTTGCCGACATTTTCCACATCCTCTGATTACTTCACTGTCAATTGTGCGATTGTGGTTGAATTTACCTTTACTAATATGTTCCTTGCAAGTATCATACTGTCTCTTTTCCATCGCATACTCTAGCACTCCCATATATTCGGGATAAACTTGATCAACGAACTCTTCTAGTCGCTCAATCCTTTGCTCCAGGAAATGCTGCAGGGTTTCTTTGTCAAGATCCTTAAAATCAACAATTTCACGAAGTGTCTTGAGCTTCATGTTCTTCAGGAAGTCCTCACAACCGTCAAGCACACCTTTAAGGTTGTACATGGCTGCCATTTTTCGGAGTTTCATCACGTTTTGTTTCAACTTGGGTTGCTTTTTAACAAAACTGAGGCAAGATTCAAAGACGTGGTTTATCTCGTACTCGTCGCTTAGCTTAAGGAGATGTTCCACGTTCAACACTAATAAATTGAAAACAATCTCAAATCAGACTGCCTTTTTACAGGCTTTCTTTTTTTTTACACTGCACATTACTTCGACTCCTTTTGTAAACATCACTTTACACAACATATGTAATAATAATCTATTTTAGTATATACCTATTTCAAAAAAGGTTGTCGGAGAGAACGACGAATGGCAATTGTCGAACGGAGATTGTACAACCGAAAGGAACTCTGGGTTTTGAATCTGATATTGATGGTAAATAATCAACTATCTAGTCAATGATGCCGGCTCCATTTAGTGAAGACCTTCGATGGTGGGTTATATGCTTTGTTCATGTTCTTCAGCATTCAGTCGCAGAGGCTTCATTTTTTAGTTTCTGAAAGAACAGTTGAGCGCTATATTTCTAAATTTCTTGTGACTGGCGATGTAAAGTCATAGACAATAGGCCGTTCATACGAGGAAACGAAGAACGTCTTTTAATTGAAAAAAGCGTGAGTTTCTGTTGTCTTCGGAGTCAAGAACCTTCAGACAAACGTTCATAGTTAGTGTTGATTTTCACGCAAGGTGAACGCAACTTATGAAATTTTGCATATGAAATAGCGTAACCACAGTTCCTTTCTGTCGTGCAACCTCCGGTCGACATTCGCCTTTCGCCATTCTCTCTGACAACCATTTTTGAAATAACTGTATACTAAAACATTGAAAGTGTTTTTCGCTCTGATTGGCTACTCAACCTCCGGATATCCAGTGCTATTCACTGATTCACCAACAGTTCGTCCGAGCGAGCGACGCCAAACAGGCATTTTTCGATATATAAAATTCATACTTGGCTCCGAGGCTTGGGGGAATAAAACAAAAGAAATGAATTATTCATTAATGAGCCTCAAGACGATTTCCTTTGTTATAATCCTTCAAGCCTCGCAGCAAAGTATGAATTTTAATATATCGAAATTGTAAGTTACGACAGGAGCCCATCGAACCAGGAGCCCATGGTTAAGAACAAAATGGCTCCCCGCTTTTCTGCCGTAACAAACAAAGAAATTTTACAAATAATCAAACAAGCTGCTCCTGAAGATGGTGACGAAATTCGGTTCAGAAGTTTTAACAGGTAAAGCTTTGTCTGTTTGACTTAAATTTATCGATGAAACTGGTAAAACAGTTTTTTGTTTACAAATGCAAGTTAAAGGTCAAATGAACCAAAAAAATGACATATTTTCTTTTGTCCCTTTACCTTCACCAAACACTAAAAAGAACCATCCTAAGTGAGATTTGGGTAAAGATTTTTCTTCCCAAGCCTTTATAGAAAGATAAAAGATCAAAATCCGAGCATTTCCGAAAACTTCACGAAAACGTTTCTGAAATGGCCGCGTGATAGACTGGAAACCACGTGACGGCAATGTTGATCTTTCAGGGCGTTCAAACGTTCAAAACTCAAACGTTCTCTTGCTTGTGTAGCCTGCGTAGCATGGCGCTTTTGTCTGGAGCACGACTGAGCGGCGAAGCCGCAAAAACGCGCTTGAACGAGCGGTGAAGATTTTTCAAGTTGCTCCCGCCTCAATCTCCTCGCGTTTTCTCTGCCCTCGCCCGCCTTTATTATTTAGCGCGCCCAACCAAAACCGCCATGCTACGCAGGCTATGGCTTGTGGTGAATATTTAGCGAGCCGCGAAGCAGCGAGGTAATTATCCATGACCACTAGCCACCTCCACTTCGGCGAATAATTGTTATATATTCATACAAAACAAATACTCAAAATACTCAAAATAATACGCTTGTGAAAAGCAATGTCATAATATTTGCAGGCCGATAACGTTTAGCTAATATCGTAGAGAGTAAGAAGAATAGTTTGACCTATCAGGATCAGCGAAGGAATAATGCTTTTCCTTTCCGTGAGGGAAACGTCTTCGCTAATAGAAAACCGCGAAAGTTCACAAGTTTCGTGCCAATTTCACTTCTAAAACAAATCACATTTTACCCATAACCACGATGGGAGGTTGTGAAGAATATTGTGAGATAATTAAAGATGATGCGGGGTGACTGTAGGAAAAAGTTAGGTTATGTATTAGGATGACGCCGTGTGGTAAAATACTAGTAGGGAGATGTGATATTGTGTGGGATAATGCGGACTGATGTAGGATGATGTGAGGATGTGCAGAATGAGGTAAGGTGATGTAGGATGATGTGTGGTGATAAGATGTGGACTGATGTAAGGCTGTGTGGGATGATGTGGACTGATGTAGGATGACATGAGGACGTGTAGAGTATATTTGGGCGTCGCTACACTAGGCGTATGTGAAGTATTTTAAGTATATTAGGCATGTGCGAGTAGTGCAGTAACGTTGTATATTTTACGGGTTGGTTGAGATGTGTAAAGCGGAAGGCGTGGAGTTATATTGGACGAGAACTGATACGATAATGGCTGCAGTTTGTTTATCAGCGAAACTGGTTTCTTATAGAATTTGATATGAAGTAACTAAAAAAATTTCCTGTAAGGTAAAAGTGATTTTAGGTGTTGCAGTGAGGTAGTTGTGGGAGAGTGGGAGAGTGGGAGTGCTAATTTGGTTATGAAGGGATAGCGTAGTTACAGTCTGTTGAAATGAAGGGGTGGTTGTCAAAGGTCTTATCAATAGTCGAAAACATACTTGTACTTATTTTAATTGTTGTTAGGCTTTTTGTTTAGGATTGTCTTTCAGTTATTTTTGATAATATTTGAATGGAGAGAATGTGAATAGGGAAAAGATCATTTAATTTGGAAAGGGAGGTATAAATATGATTTGGGGGGGGCGGAAAAGCTTATTTTGGGTGTGTGGGTTCGGGGGGGCTTTGAAAAATCGATGAGGTCAAGGGGAGGGCGTAACATCTGACAATAAAACTAACGACCTGGTTACATGAGCCGGGCTGGCTCGCTTTGCAGATATCTCGGCACCTTAGTTAAACGCAACAAAAATCAACTTTGCGATTACATGACAACCGAGCCAGCCCGGTTAGCTGGGATCCCGGCTGGAAATTTTCCCGGCGGTAATCACGCTTGCCGGGCAGCCTGGCGAAAGAACCAAGCGAAAAACAGGACAGCGGGTAACACACTGCTCAAGCACGCTGCTTCAGATCTCTACATAAAAATGTCGGCTCCGGGCTAGCCCTGCTCACGTGATACAGGGATTTGAAAAGTCACCTCGGCAGAGCTAGCCAGGCGGGTCATGTAATCAGGCTCTCACTATGAGTTGTGTTGTCACGCAGTTTACACGTGAAAGCTTTGGAATTTGCCACTTGCGTGGTTCGTGTAGCAAAGAAATCGAATTAGACCTTATTTACGATATCCGCCATCTTTTCGCGCACTTAAGGACTGACGGGATAAAGGCAACGTCAAGTGGTTTCTCAGGGGGCAAACAAGGGCTAAAATCTGCCAATACAAGAAATCGCGGTCGAGTTTGTTTATTCTAGACAAAAGAAAATGAGGAACTTTTCATATAGAAGACGCTAATGGCTAGTTGTTGCAAGTTATTAGTGAAAGTGTTCATTACTTCGGCGGAGTGCGAAGGCTAAGTAAAGGATTTGCGACGCTCAGGAATGTGTCAAAGTTGACTTTTTTTGGCAATATTGGGCACGCAAACTCTGTAGGTTTTCGGTTTTATTCGGCTATTTGGCGAAGTGCGAGCCGAACTAGTTCGACATATTTTGAGATCACTTCGATTTCTTTGATGTATTCTTTAACTTTTTCGTGGAAGAAAGAGTTATTATTATTTTGTTTTGCCGGGGTTGAACCGACTCGCCTGTGTGACCCGTCAGATCAGAGGAGACTCTGACCCAAGGTAGTTCGGGATATGAAAAATAGTCATGAAATGATACACTAGTTTCGGGACAAATTCGTGACTTTTCGGCTTGTTTCGGCTATTTCACGAAATGAGACCGGCCTACTTCGTGATATCTTGAGATCACTTCGAGTTTAGTCTTTAATTTACTCGAGGAATAAATGGAGGATATTACGTGGACGCGCAGAGACACGAAATTTCTATTCGAGTGTTGAAAAACATTTCACGAGTGAGCCCTCCTTTCGAACTGTTTTATGATGAATGTAAAGTTACAAGATGCCTCACAAAGACATTTTGTCTTTGTTGAGTGTTACCTAGTAAAATTGCTTTCATGCGTTGCGTGACTTTATCGAACGTTCTCTACTGACGTTTTTGGATTATTCATGAATAATTAATCAGGGCATGTTTACATTTCAACATGAGTCAGCAGATTTGCATCAGTTACTGAAATCATAAAATATGTCGAAAAGCTACTACTGTTCGCCTGTTTAGTGTTTTCTAGAACCTTATGTCAAACGGTATACAAGTTCCAAGCAAGTTCTTTTGACGAACTAAGTTTTTTCCCACGAGCTGGACTGCTGTGTTTAGTGAAGTGTGACGAAGGCCGATTTTCAAGTTCTGTGTTTACAAGTTGACTGAAGCCGTAAGATATCTGAAGTTCAAGTGATAGTTTGTTATTATTGGCAGAGGCTGTTTATTTTACTTAAGTTCAAGTCAAGTTTGTGTTGGCGGATGCTGTGTTTTAAAGCTCTGTAAAGGCTATGTTCCTTTGGTTTTAAACTTGCTTGTGTTAATCCGACGTCCCTGCGTGCTGATAGTCAGTGAATAATTATCCTCAAAACATTCGAACTCGTGACATTGAGTTTAGCCAATTCCATGCTCACCGGAATTGACTCCTTACCCATGCCTTACATATCTATGTTGTTTTTGAAGCCTGATGTGACCAAGAAAAATAGAGAATTCTTTTTTTACTGCTTGTTTTGTTACACTTGTTATTCACTGCCAGTAACCTCATATTTGACTGAGGTCTAAACGTTTAGACCCAAGTCAAATTTAGAAGGATTTGTATGGAGTCATCAGAGCATAACTGGACTAATATCTCGGAGACAATTTGTCCCGAAATGCTAGTTTTTGGCAAGTAGGCCTCAAATCATGCCGCAAAATCCTATATCACTCCAGGCAAGTAGGATGTTGCTCTTTTCAGAATATCCTGACAAATCCCATAACTTCACAAATTAAGACCTTACTCTTACCATATTTCAATTCTTACTATTTCTCCGCATTTACAATTAATCAGTTCCACAACCACGACGCCGAAGTGTACGTTCCGTAGCGTCTTGTAACTTTATGAAGAAGCAATAGAGACCGTAGATGTCCGTTCAGCATGTAATAATGACGTAAAACTTTTTGAAACTCGAACTGTACATTTTCAATGACTATTAAATCGTTGTCTCGTTTCGATAGAATAAACAAATTCGACCGCGATTACTCGTATTGGGAAATTTTATTCATTGTCTGCTCCCTGAGAAACCACGTGACATTGCTAATATTCCATCGTTCCTAAGGTAGACTACGAGTAGTCTAGTCCACATTTTTCCTCAGGGATGGTAGGGCAAGAGAAACGCGAGCGCGCGTGAAAATCATCCCTCGCGAGAAAGGCGAGACGCGGCGGGAAGAGAGAATGTCTTGCCTTTCTCGCGAGGGGTGACTTTTATGCGCGCTCACGTTACGCTCGCTCTACTATCCCTGACGAAAAATGGGCACTACTAGTAGTCTAATCCTAAGGCGCATGCAAAGATGGCGGGTATCGTGAATAAGGTCTATCAACCTAGGGGTTTTGAAAATAACTGTCACGCACGCAGTTTGCACTTGAAAATGTTGGCCTTTGCCCCTTTTACCGTTCGAACATGAAAGAATGCAACTTGTTTAAGAGTTCATTTTGCTCAATAAGATCTTAAGAAATTGCCTAATTTCCGAATATATGAAATAACATTATACATCATTCAATGTTAAAATTAATAGGCTGACATCAATTAGGGAAAGTTCATTTAATATGTCAAGGGGGGGGGGGATGAAGATATTGAAACTCGAAGCTTGAAATTTTAGCAGCCCCCCTCGCTAGCGGTTCAATTTTTTAGGAGCCCCCTCCTTGGTAGTCGAAAAAATTTCAGAGCCCCCCCTCCTCCTTCAATTCCTTTGCTCCCCTGAAAAAAGATCGCTAGACTGTATTAAATATATTTACCGTTATTGTCTTCAATGGTTTATACTATGACAAACTTGAGATACAGTTGTGATACAATTTTCTAAAGCATTTTTGGGATGAACAAGAGTGTAATAATTACTGAGACTACATTTGTTATATCTGTAAACCACGTGATATAGCTGAGTTGCACAGGTCATTAAATTGTTGAGTTGAAAACCATCCGATCTGTATGATGATGTCATGTGTTGGTTTTGAAGTATACAAATTTTCGGAGCTCCCCCTCCTAGCGCAACAATTTTTTCAGAGCCCCCCCTTCGGGTGTCTAAAATTTTCGAACCCCCCTCAATATCTTCATCGCCCCCCTTGCCATATTAAATGAACTTTCACTTAACTCCAATAAAACTATAAAACTGCCAAAATACCTAATATGTGGCCACTCATCCCATATCATTCCCCTCATTGAAACAATCCCGTATTTATCACATGCACGATCACGGAATTTTGCATCATTGCGTGATATCTTCTTTTACTCGAGACAACTGAGGGAAAAAATATTGTCAAACTATTGGCCATAAGCCAAACCCGTCAATTCCAGAGTGAGATTTTCAAAGTTTAATACTACCAACGATTCAAAACTATTCATTACTTCTATCAGCAACGCCCAAATAATTTAAAAAGAGGATGACGTGGGGTGATATAGGATGATGTGTGGTGATGTAGAATGATGTGGTGGCGAGGTAGGAATTATGTGCGTAATATTGGATGTTGTGTGGCTATGAATGATAGAGTGGTGATGTAGGATGATGTGGAGTTATGAAGGGCAATTTGGAGTTATGTAGGACGATGTGGAGTTATGCAGGACAATGTGGAGTTATGCAGGATGATGTGTGGTGATGTAAGATGATTTGAGTCGAGGTAGGATGATGGGAAGTTATGTTGGATGATGTGGGGCGATGGAGAAGGATGTTAGGTGATGTAGAATGACGAAAGGTCAGATGTTGTGTGGTTACGTACGATGGTGGCGTTTGTTGATGTAGGGCGATGTAGGATGATGTGAAGTTGTTTAGGATGTGTGGTGATTTAAGATGATGTTGAGTGATGTAGGACGATCTGGGGCGATGGAGGATGATGTGGACTTAATCAGGACGATGTGTGTAGAACGAGGCAATGGAGGATGATGTATGGTGATGAAGAATGATATGGAGTGATGTAGGGCAACGTAGATTAGGTCTTGCGGTCGATGTGGGTCGATATTAGGGACCTTAAGCAACTACGACGACGACGGCAGTGAAAATCACTAAAAAAATGAATTTGCGTCCTTTCGAACTTTATCGCGTCTATTTGGAACCGCTCAATTCGTCCTCTATAAAACGTTGCATTGGGAGGTTTCACGTCGTAGTCGTGCAGTGGACGTCAACGAAATGTACTAAAAAGCGTGATGCACGTGCAGAGCTGTTGTTTTGGCCATAAAACCAATTGTTTTTCGATGTGGCTGTAGTCGTCGTCGTCGTAGTTGCTTAAGGTCCCTATTAAATGTGTAAGTGGAGAAGGGAAAAAAATGGAGATATGGAGGTGGTGGTGGAAAGAAAAGAAAAAAAGTTGAGCAAAAGGGAAATCATTTAATTGTGGAGGAGCAGGAGGGGAAGTGGGGTTAGTAAAAAACTGTCTTTGTGCTAGGGGAAAAAACTAGATTACTTTAGCCCTCATTAATATGTAGGATTTGCGCTCCAAGAGTCAGTGAACCGGAATGGGACACTTTGCTGGACAATGAAAACGGCAGGAAATAGAAGAGGCCCTGCCAGGGGGATGGGGAGGGGGTCCCATGTCGCTTGTCTGAATGTTAAAAAGTCTCGTGTCGGTGTTGATAAATGTTTCACGTCGCTGTCGGAATTGTCGTAATTTTAGAAAAGGGGGATGGCGATGCGCTGTGAAGAAACCATTACAGTTTTGCAATTACTCAGTTAACAATTCGCGTATCCAACACCCATACATCGCCATTCGTAATTAACACAATTCACAGGAGGGTCCACTGAAGTTCACTGACAAGAGACGTTCTCTGAAGCGCAAGGAAAATTGACGAAAATTACTTCTTGGCATTCAGACTGGTGATAAATTAGCCAAACCACCGTTCTTTGTCGCTTATTCTCGGCTTTGCCGTCACCGTCGCAATTTGGCCGCGAAAGGTTGTCTCTTGTCGCCATTTCATTTTACGCTCTTTCGCTACTTTTTGGGTCATGTCGCTTGTTGGAATTTACAATGGCAGGGCCTCATAGAACGTGTATAACGTTGCATGACTCGGTGATTTTATGTCACAGTCGAGTTAGCGCTTATACCTTCAACATTATGAATCGACTGATGAATACTTTCTTAGTTTTTAGTGAACCAATCAAAAAGCAAGAAATTCATCGACCTAAAATTTTAAAACTAAAGAAAGTAGTCACAGGGTTAAACAACTAAAAATAGCACAGGACCTGAGATTCCTCCACATTTTATTCACGATATTAAGACAAAAGGCTACGATGTCATCAGCGGGCAATGGCGTTAATGTATTTCTCTTCAAACTAATGACACTCCACTTCAAAAAATGGCTTATTTCATCTTTACTATACTACTGATAAGTATTGATAAAAGATGATAGTCGTATAGGATAATGTGCGTCGATGGGGGATGATTTGGAGTGATATAAGATGATGCGGAGTTACAAAAGATGACATGAGGTGATGCAGGATGATGTGGGTGATGCAGATATGAGAAGTAAGATGATACATGGTGGTGTAGGATTAGATGGGGCGATGTAGGTTGAATATATGGGGGTGATGCAGGATGACGAGTGGTAATGTAGGACGATGTATGGTTATGTAAGATGGTATGGAGTGATATAGGATTTTGCGGCATGATTTGAAGCTATCCCCATTAATTTTCTCTACGGGGAGGCTTCACCCGAAAGGGTTACCTTCTTAAGGATTCAGGTATATCAAAGGGTAGGGAATCAGCAGGCTGAAGTATGTTAAAGGGTGGAGAAATCTATTCTTTAAGTATTTAAAAGGTCCTTCGATTAAGACATTTCGAAAAGACAGGCCTTATGGCTATATTATTTTATTAAACTTCACATAAAAACGGAAAGAAGACCTGTTTGAGCGATATATTTTTACAAATAGGTATGTTTAAAGGGTACCATTTTTTAATATAGGGTATACGAAAGGGATCCCTTTTCTGTCGAAAATGGTATAAAAAAGGGTAAGGGATTGGGACTCAGAGCGGAGCCTCCCCGTAACGAACTTTGTTGAGAAAAAGGAAAAAATCCTACTAGTTATTTCCACTGGTTCTTGTATAACGTGCTTGAAGTAAATAAGTTTTAGGAGATCTAAAACTTCACTGGCTTTCTTCTCAGGCAGTGGAATCTCTTCGGAGGTAGCCTCCTTGAACTGGGATTTGAACATGGCCTTGAAGACAGGTGAGTTCATGCTCAGTATCAGGCGATGAACATGAAACTTTTCATCCTCCACCACAAGAATCAGGTCACTATCTTCCCAGGGCTCTGAAAATCGATGCTTGACTTTTGTTTGGCCTTCTCCTGCTTTAAAAAATAGTATACACTGATATCATCTCGCCTGTTTCAGAGGTTAAGTGATATATCATTTTTCCCGATTATCATTTTGTGTTGGGGTATGACACAAAGAAATAACAAAACTTTTATAGTAGCCCATGGCAGGTGTATAGTAAATCTGCTTGTTGCAAGTTACATCTAAGCAATGTGTATGGAGGAGGAGGATCCGTGTTCTCCTCTTAAGTGTCCCGTTCTTTTTTGTGTCATAAATTTTTCATGCACTTGAAATGCAGACTAAACAGCTGGCACCTTTGAACAAGAGTCCCTATGACGTAACCTGAATATGTAACGGGTCCTCTCATTTCATTTAGTGGCCCTTCCTTCTTCCTCTCCATTCGCTCCTACTAAAAGCTTTGCACATAAATAGAAGCTTGATGGAACCTAGTTTTCCTGACCAGCACTTAAAAGGAAATAGGGTGAGAGAGATTTGGCTATAGGAGGGAGTGCTCTTCCTTTACTTCTTCACGTGGAGTTTTAAGCACGATAAAATAACCACTCCTGTTATTACACATTATTTTGTTGTTCTTGTCAAAAGCCTTGTTTTTCATTAAATTTAATTTCTGCCCTTTTCCTTCCAAATCTAGTTAAGAAGTCTTGTATGATCCAAAAATTGCTCCACAAGGTTGTAGTCATTAGTTCAACAAATGTGTTAGAATTTTTGGATAATTTTTTGAATGTTTCAAATCAATAAGAATTGTGGGTATGTTTAAGATTTTGGAAAAGTGGAAAATACTAACTTTGAGGGTAAAATATGAAATGCACAATCAAAACAAGGTGCCTCTGAGCTCCTTAGCAGACTTGTGTATACTTTTTTCTACCTTGATAGACATTTGTTGGAGGCCGCTAAAACACTTGTATGCAAAATGAGCATACAGGATATGACAAATACGATTGCATGGTCGCGACGCCTACTTCCCTTTCCAAAACGGTCATTGCGATTTTTAACGGTCGATGCCACCATTGGTAACCAAGCCTTTAGTCAGGATAGATGTGATATAATCCCTGGATTAAACCTGTTACAGTGAGGCAAATAATACGTTTTTGAATAGTCTTAGAAAGAACGACGTTGAAGCCCGAGTTGAATTTAAATTAAAAATTATGGAAAGGGCTAGGGACACCTGTTGATGTATCAGTTAAGAAAGACAGCTTGCTAGTTTACGTACTTAACTTTTTCGGAATTTTGGCGGATGGATGTGGTAGTGTAGTGGTAAGGGAAAGAGATTAGGATACTAAAGGTCCGGGTTCGACCCTGGGTTGTGATTTTCTTTTTCTTTAATAGAAACACCCTCAATAACAGGTCAAAAATTTTCTAAGGGTCTTAAAAATGGCAGCGACTGTTTACGAAGAGACAACTGCGGTGGCGACAGGGAGACACTGCTAACTTAATTGGCGCTAACTGGAATAAGTTTTAGACATTCAGTGCGTAGCAGTTAATGATACTGATAAAAAAATGTTAAAATTGACTATCTGATGATTATTTTTAGGAAATGCCACGTCTATTCTGTTACAGGATTTAGTTTTAGTTGTAGTAGCAACATTGATAATCCATTGCCATGTACAGCCTTCAAACTACATAACCCATGGATCTCTTGGAGTTAGACTGAGTCTGGTAAATTTTATTTTGTAATCCAATAACATCAAACAATTTATTTTGTGTGTGTTCAGAATTTATCATAAAGTTGAAGTTACAATCATTGTTATGCCCCACTCACACCAACTAAACATGTTTAATTAAACTAGGTTTTAAAAAATAAAAAAACAGACACGATAACTAGAACACAGGGTTTTCACACAGGATTCAAAAGAAATTCAACATGTTTAGTAAATCGCACTGCTAAATTTGCAATCAACGTAGTCAGTAAAAGTCAGTAAGCAGCTTTTATGAAGGAGACAATGTTTAACTAAACAGCTTCAAAATTCTGGTTTGAACAGGACCTAAGTTAATCAAGCCTATTAAAGAAAACGAGTCTTCCTGCCTTTGAATTTTCAAAAGAGGCTTTACTCTATTTTTCAATTGACATTGCCTGTGAATCGCTTTTTAGAACCAGTTGTCGGCGTCTATGGTCACAATTAACAACTATATCTACATAATTATAAAGTAACTATACTGCGAACACGCCAGACGATGATATGTAAACATACAGTATGATGCAACCAGTAGGTGTGAAGCTGTGAAGTTTAGTGATTTGGGTCAGGAAACTGAGTTAATCGACAGGGCGAACTGATCTTGAACTTGAATCCCTCAGTTTCTTTATTGAGATGTTCCATTTCTATTGGGCTATTGCAGCTAATTCATACCCCCCAGTTGAGGACCCCTGGAATTTTTCAGGAGTAAGTTAGAAAAATTGAGGGTTTCTTCAGGGTAGAGTGAAAATTAATATGTACTTCCTTTAGGGTGAAGCTTGAATTCTTTAAGAGGTGGAGCCATATTCTTCAGAGGGTAGACCCATTAGGGCGAATGCAATTGTATTTAATCCTTAGGGGTAAGAAGAAAAGGTAAGTCCTCAACCAGGGGGTGATATGGATATTAAATGCAAAAGCTCATTTCAGAGTTTTCCGTCCCTGCGTTCAGATTCCTTGCCTCCTTACCTTTCATTCAGAAACCTTTGAAAAAAAAGTTTCCTACCCCTTTTATTTTTTGTCGGCCCCTTTGAAAACGGATTCCTACCAGTTATCTGCCTAGAAAACTCATCCATAGGGGGAGATCAAAATAAAAGTGGAACGTCCCATAATTCCTAAACGTTATCCCGGCATCGATGACCGATGACCGATGAAAATCAGTCATTGGAAATCAATCAATATAATCGATATAACCAATAAAATTTAATCTATTAATATTTCACCACTCGATGAAGATTGAAACTCACAATGCAAGTCCTCTTAATTGTATTGATTTTTATCGATTTTTATCAGGTTTAATAAATGAACGATTTATGATTCTAAATCCTGGGTGTGTGCGTTATTTGCAGGAGTAGGAACTTTCAAGAAACGTTGTTCAACGAATCCACAGCTGTTCAGGTAGATTATAACACGGCACATATCATGGCTTTTAACTGATCAGACTTTTCAAAGAGAGTTTGCAAAACACTTTTGATCAAGGTTTCTTGTGTTTTCGACACTTTTAGGGAAAAAGTAGCAATTGAACAGCAGATCTCTTTTTAGGAAGAAAAAAAAAAATTATAATAGGTAAGACTTTCAATATTACCAATACTTAGCTCAAACGTATCTGAAATCATCATTAACTGATTACCATTGGCAATGGATATTATCGATGAAAATTAATTTAAATCGATGATATTCACAAATCTTCTGATATCCAATTTCCATTGATTTCCGATAATATGTAGATTTAGCCAGGGCTACAAGTGAAGCTCTTGTTAATACACTTGTAGTTTACCCAAACAAAAAAACAAAATTGTGTAATGCCAAATGCCGACCGCAATGACAACGGCATAAAAAAAAAGAAAATAGGTCTAATTAGCAAAAAAAACCACTTTGGACGTGCAGCACACTTTTTTGTACATTTCTTTACCACTTTTTTTTTTCATGACTACAACGCGAAACTTTCTAGTTACGTGCTTTATGGGGGAAATTAATGTTGCATGTGCTTTTGTTTGTTTGTTTGTTTGCATTTTTTTACTGTTGCTCATTTTCACCTTGGTGGCTGCTAGCATTTCTAATTTTCTCACAACCACTATAAAATTTCCTTGCAACAAAATTCGTCTCCTTTGTTTGATGTTTTTTAGCTCTAGTTCTAGCTCTTTCTCTGTTATCCATGTCAGTGTATACATTAAAATTAAGTTGAAAAATCAGACTCAGCTATGTTGTTGTTTTTTCTCTCTAAATGTCCAGGTGGCCATGTGATTTACCACTAAAATGCAGGGGTGCTTGAAATGCACAGCTTCACCCAGGCTTACATAAAGGGGTGGACGTACGTTCTTACGGACAATTTTGTCAGAACCAACATTTCTTGGATGCATAGATACCGTAAGTGACCTAATAAGCACCCAGGGCATCTAGTTAATTTTAGGGGTCCTGGGGGTGATTAATAGATAGGAGGCGTGTAAAACTCTACAGTCAGAGAGGCGTTCCTTCTCACAACTGTAACAAGCTCAACAAAACTAATGTGCTTTCGCAAAAAATATCAAGAGAGTTTTAAAAAGAGTAGAATATCTACTCCATCTTGAAAAACTGATACGTTTAGGCCATCTAGAGATTTATATCGCTCTTTCAAATCTCAACATCGATGTCAGAATCCGTGCTCAGCGTTTTTGTGTTGCCATCCTTTGGCCTTAGTCTATCCTGACTTTGAACATGACATTGAACACGATGAAATACGCAAACCCTGGTTAATCAAGCAAGAAACTGAATTTATTGAATGATTTTGCTATTTTTGGCCAATTCGTAGTATTTAGGAGTAATTCTCGTAGGGGCATCTATTAGATAAGAGAAGTTTATTTGGATGTGGGAAGGTCATTTTCGGTAACCAAATTTTCTTACCCAGGTACTCTACTGTGCACGTTAAGCGCGCGAGAGCTCCGCTATCAATACACCTTTTCACGGTTTATGACGCCATCTTGGCTGGGGGGCAAACACGACTAAAAATAAAAGTGAATGTATGGGATTTTGGCCCACTTGGAACCGCTATAACGCCGCTACAAAGAGGCGGATTTTCACAGCGAAAATGTATTTTCAAAGACATTTGTACTGTGATTATTCTCATGAAGTATAAAGAAGAGATTCAGGTTATAACGACCGTAAACGACCGTAGATTTCATACCCTCCTAATCAACATTATGTAAATTACCATGAAATTAGAAGCCACATGGGAAGATTTATAATTCGCATTTACGGACGTCGTACTTTCTTTAATAGCCTCATTTTCCGGTGAATGAATGATATTAATAAAAACTGTTTAAAGTAGGGGCAAATGTTGGAAATCTGCCTCTTTGTAGCGGCGTTTATAGCGGTTCCAAGTGGGCCAAAATCCCACACATTCACTGTAATTTTAGCCGTGTTTGCCCCCCAGCCAAGATGGCGTCAAAAACCGCGATTGCAATCGATTTTTAAATCGATTACCGATTGAATTTCATCGATTGGGCACGCTGGGGCCTAATTTATAGTCACTGCATGCAGAGCGGTTCGCATTCTGCAAAATATCCTAGCTGAAACACAACTCTTGCAAGGAAATATGGCAAAAGAATTCTGAATATCCTTCCTTAATAAAGCAGTTAAATGAATATTCCGCTGGTTATCAAAAATTTGACTGCTTTTGTTCGGCTAGCTTTATAGCAAGGAGCGTTACCTGAAAGTTCTCTGCTTCCACCCTCACGAGAGACTGTTTCCTCGGGAATGTTTAGCTTATTATGATTGTCTGATTTTGGTGATCGATTCAATATAGGGCGTTCCAGATTGGTAATCGATGATGAGCTCTCCTGCAATTGCTGATTGGTCGTGGCTAGATGGAACTACGTGTAGCCGCACCCTCGGAGGTGATCGAGGAGGACTAGAAACGAGAGTTTCTTCGGGGAACTCTTCGGCTCGTGAGACAAGATCATCTCGCGGTCAACTTCCGTCGTCGCCGTCGGACTAGCAGAATTTACGAACAAAGAAGGGAAATGTATATGAGGTTATTTTAAACTCCTCTTGATCTGTTCCTTAAAAATAAGGAATCTTTCGATAATAAGAGCATAAGGGAACAAACACCCCAGAATTACAAACATGGAATCCCTCAGAAGGAGGTTGGCATCCCTCAGAAGGAGGTGTTTATTTTTAACTTGTAAATGGGATTCCTCAGAAGGATTTTGGTATCCCTCAGAAGGAGGTACACTGTATTTGTGTGGAACTTCAGTGTAAATGGAATCCCTCATGAGGAGTTTGGCATCTGATCTCTCAGAAGAAGGTACACTTATCTTTATATGGATTACTTGTAAATTAATGGAATGCCTCAAAAAGAGTTTGACATCTCTCAGAAAGAGGTACACTGTATTATGTAAAATTGTATTATGTATGACTCAGTGGCGGAACGAGACCTTAAGATAAGTCAGTGGCGTAGCCAGGGGAGGGTTCCAGGGGTTCCGGAACCTCCAATTGGGCTATGAAACTGGCTATAAACAAGAAAAAAAATTCAGAAAGGCATCACATGTTATATCGAGGGTTACATTATAGAGTTCTTAAATCAAAATTTTCCCAGACAGCCTGCCATGTGTTACGCCTGTAAGTAGCACAACAATGGCTGTACAAAATTCTACTGAAAAGCCTGCCATCAAAACTGAGAGCAGTAGAAGCTTTGTCAAGTGGTATTCAATGCTTATTCATCACTTCCTAGATTACCACAATGCCTTTCAGTATTACAAGCCACACAGTATCAAGTTTAGCATGAATGGCAACTGAGGCCTAAATTGGCAGAAAGTGACCCGTGAATTGTTTCCACTGAAATGTAGACAAGTCTGTGCATATTTTATTTATGTTGCCAAATACATTAGCGGAATCTGTGTGCTCATTCAGTACATCGAGCCCACTGAAAACACACTCAAAAGTTGCCATGCCCACCGCGTGATTGTCTGGACTTGCTTTATTCTTTGCTCTCTCCTCGTATCACTCTCTGCGCCCACTTAGCGCTTTACAGACAAGCCTCGTTCAGCCTCGCTGGGCTCATAGACTCTGATAAACATCCGTTACAGTAGGCTCTTGACATTAGTTCAACAATCAAAATTTTTGCACAGAAGCATACAAGGGGCCACCTTCTTGATGATATGCTAGCTCAGTGAACAGTCCATTACAAGACCACAGTCTTTGATAAAGTATGTTATGTATTCAACAACTACTGACTGGTGCATTTTTAACCATCTCTACAGGAAGCATGATTTGCATCCTCTCTCAGAAATTCTAGATACATTTGGCAGGCAGTGACTTTATTAGAAGTTTGTGGCCAGAATCAAGAAATCACTATCTGAGGACATGCACCCTTACCCAATGCCTCTCACAACAATACCACCTTAAGAACCCCTGTATGCCAAATTGCTGGCTACACCCCTGTAAGTGGGTAAGTTTGAGCAGTCACAAAAATATTTTTTTTCGTCCCTTCGGGCCTCAGTTTGGTGTAAAAATAAGGGGGGGGGGGGGCCTTGCCCTCCCCTGAATCTGCCATTGTAACTTGTAAATGCATAAATGGGATCCCTCGAATTTTCGCATCTCTCTGCAGAAGGATATGCCTTTTACCTGAGACATTATTTCAAAAGTAAGTAACATGAAAGATCCACTGTTTATTGTTATGGCATGGATGATGTTATTTACAGTTACTATATGCACTATTACTTCAAGTAGACTATTCAGAATAGCATGTTAGAGTGTAGTTTCGAAAGTGCACTCTAACATGCTATTCTGAATAGTCTACTTGAATGTAATAGTGCATATAGTAACTGTAAATAACATCATCCATGCCATAACAATAAACAGTGGATCTTTCACGACCAATCAGCATATGTATATTGCAATGATTTTGAACTCCTCAGTTTCTTAAAATGAAATCTTTCAACATAATAATATTTTGGCATCCCTTAGAAGGAAGAGTTTATTTTTACCTTGAAAATGGAATGCCTTATGAGAATATATAACTTGTTAATGGAATCCCCCATATTGCACTAGTGAAGGAAAAGCCAGTGCACCCCCATACCTCCGTGGGGGATCACTGGGTATTAGTCTACCAGGCCTGCCTTCTAAATGAAGCAAACTCATTGCTATGCAGAACAGTTTTGTACATCAAACTATCACTTTTAAAATCAACAGTGCTGTCCATTTCTCACACAGCCAAAATTGTAAAGTAAATTGCCTTGAGTTACAGATTTGGCATTCCAAACCTCTCCAGCCCCAATCGATTATGTTTACATGAGCCCTCCAGCTTATATGCCCATGGAGAACAATGTCCCTGTTATTTCCTGTCAAAGTAAGATTATGTGCTTCTGATCCTGGAGAAGATTGCATCAAAGGTGAATCCCTGTGTAAGCCCTGATAATGATCCCTGCTGGCTGAGACTTGTGTCCAGCAGTGTTCAATGTAGAAATAGGTCAAAGTGGGTCATATGTGACTCCCGCATGATATTTTAAATTGAGTCATTTCAAGAATGGTCTGGGTCAAACTATGATATTGAAACTTTGAACAATCATCCAAACTATATAATTATCATGAGCTTTACCTTTCTTATCCAGCCAATCTTCATGCTTTTCATGTTCAACTGCTATTCTCTTTTGCATAAGAAAATGAACTTAGCTTTTGTTATTGAGTTTCATAATGAATAAAGAAAAAGAACAAATTCAACAAACAAAGCTTGAATTGATCAGGAAAGAAATGTATGCAGAGCATTGAAATTGACACTCCAGTCTCTCAGTCTCTCTGTACTGCATGAAAGGTCTGACACAAATAAAGTTACTCATAAGCACATAGTCTAAAATGACACTCATTTCACGTGCTTATTTCAGGCACCTTTTTTATTTTTAATATTGACTGCTGCTTTGCAAGTACTTGTATATATGAGGTTTTGCATCACAATGGAATATTCCATGCCAATGATGTAAAAGTGCGGCATAGATTAAACGCTGGTCCAATACTGTCAAAAACCCCTCTTAACATGGCAAAAGTGATAGTCTAAAATTGCTGAAATCTCCCATTTATGTCCTGCATTCCCTGGGTATGGGTGCATGGGGCTAATCGACAGATTAGTGCATAAGGATTTTTGCATCCCCCACAACATCATAGTCTGTTAGAAATGACCCCCCATAAATTTTACACATTGTGAAAGTGCCCTCCCCCCCTGAGGAATCTAGGAATATTCTAGCGTAGAATCAAAGTTCAGCACATACTTTATCCACAGTTGTTTTTATAAGACTGACGTTTACTATATTCAAGCCTTTTACATTCAATCATTACTGCTTTATACTACTTTCATACGATTTATTAAAATGTCCCCCCAGGTAATGATCTCTCATCCAAAATTGACGCCTTAAACCCAATGAAGATTTTTATAATGATCCCCCAGCAAAATGCCCCCTCCTCCCAGGTAATACGTACACGACCAGCTCCCAAGCAACGAAAATACAAGTAAAAAATTAATGTCTGTTTCCATTGAACTGAAATATATATATATGAAGTGATCACATAAAATTTTCTATTTCCACTGTCACTGTTTATTGTCTGCATGATTTTACTTATTATGTGTTTTGCCTTTTTTTATATATATATTTGTTTTTTTCTTTATTTAATTCTTGGCATTGGCAATTTCTGGATGCATTTTTGCCTGATGTCAACGAACGTCAATGTGGCTAAGTTGTATTTATTTGAGGGTTTACATGTATCTGTTACAGGTCAAGATTAAAATATTCGGGTTAATGATTCTCACTATAGCAATATTATAATCATAAGAATTAGGGCTAGCAGACAAAGGTGATATTTTGAGAATCAACCTAGGTTAATAAATTTTAACCTGAATTTAATTTTGACCTGTAACAAAAACCAAAAACTTGCCTAACAAAACTCCAATATAGCGGTTTTATTGGGCAACTTTTTGGCCTTTTTCTTTAATTAAGCTTAAGTACTGAAAGCTTAAATGTTCACTTGACTTTCATACTACAGTACACATTTATAATGAGTTGTCTACTTGCATGCTATAGTGCATAGTAACATCAAACAGACAATAAAAAGTGGAAATAGCTTATACAATACAAGGCTGTGCTCTAGCAGTGCCTGGTGGCCCATGGCACCAACTTTTGTTACTTAGTGACAAGAAAACCTTTTTTTTTTTTCATAGAAATTCCATACTGGGCACCCTAGATTTCACAGGTTCTCATTGAGCACCCTTTAATTTTTATTAGACCACATTTCCATGAGGGTTACAAAAATCCTGTCATATCAAAATCCTTCTCAATCTGTGGGATTCCATTTACAAGTTAAACACAAACACCTCCGTCTAAGGGATGTTAAACTCCTTTCGAGGGATTCCATTTACAAGGCGGGAGGGGGGTTACTCTCTTACAAGAGGTTATTGGGGATTTGCCGCTGGACGGGGTCGCAATTTCACGACTGGAGTGACTATAATGGAGTCACATTTTCAAAAGAGTTACTAGAATTGGGTCGCAAATTTTTGGATTTTTGGGGTAAGTAGGGATTCAAGATGGGAAGATTCTCGGTTAAAAATATCAGAAAGTTGTTGTTTATTAATTAAATTTAACAATCAGCTCGCATTGACCGCATTACATTCTGCCGCTTGAAAAACCACATTAATGTACAAGTTACACATATATAAAGTGTACCTCCTTCTGTGAGATGTCAAACTCCTATTGAGGGATGTTATTTACAAGTAAAACATAAATACGGTGTACCTCCCTCTGAGAGTTGCCAAACTTCCTTTTGAGGGATTCCATTTACAAGTTGTACATAAATACAATGTACCTCTTTCTGAGAGATGCAAACTCCCTGTGAGGGATTCGATTAATTTATAAGTTGTACATAAATAAAGTGTACCTCCTTCTGAGAGATGCCAAACTCCTTTTGAGCGATGCCATTAACAAGTTACACATAAATAAAGTGTACCTCTTTCTGAGAGATCAAATGTCAAACTCCTTTTGAGAGATTCTATTTACAAGTTAAACATAAATACAGTGTACCTCCTTCTGAGATATGCCAATTTCCTTCTGAAGGATTCCGTTTACAAGTTAAAAATAAACACCTCCTTCTGAGGGATGCCAACCTGACCCTCTAAGGGATTCCATATTAGTACTTCTGAGGTTTTGATCCCTTTACTCTTAGTATCGAAAGATTCCTTATATTTAAGAAACTTGCAGAAGAGTTTAAAACTATTTCAATAACATTTCCCTAGCCGTTCGAAGTTCTTTATTCTTAAATTCTGTTAGAAATTGCAAGTCCGACGACGAAAGGTGATCGCGAGGTGCGCTATCTTGTTATGTCTCAGGAGCCGCAGACTCTCCTTTCTAGTCCTCCTCGATCACCTCCTTCTGAGGGATCGGGGTTTCCAGCTAGCCACGACCTTGCTGATGCATCTGTACCGTAACCTGAGATCAGGCCCAATTTTAGCAGTACTCATACATTCTCTTTAACGGCTACCGCTAAAAGTTGGGCCTGATACAAACTCTCACAAGTTTGTGCTCACTGCGGTCAGATTTTGGCCACAACGCTGATTGGCTGTTAGAACAATGCCACAAGATCTGATTGGCTGTTCGAATCAACGGAAGTTGAAAGCGCTTATTCCTCGCGTGGTTGTTTTCGTGATCCGCCGTCGGCGGAGAGAAGGATCGATTTTGCTGTCTTTTTTATTGTTTTATGGTCCTATGGTAGGAAAATATGCCTTAATATGTGCTATGGAAATTCAGAAAATTCAGATGGTTATTCATATCCTCAGGATTTGCTTTATTTGCGGAACTAATGTGAGTGTAGAGCGGAGTTAAATCCCTCTGCAAGTTGTTGACCGCGAACAAGGTGCCTTTTGATTTACCAACAAACGAGTGCAAATCACAATACTGTCCATCTTCAAACATGTTTTATGTGAAAGTTTAGCCGGGAATTACTTCTCTGAAAGGGGTACGCAAGCGGAAGGTCACTGCGAAAGAAACCTCAATCGCCAGCTGTGAGGTATAACACGAAAAATATCGCATCCATGTTCAAGGAATTTTTGTAGCCATTATTCAAAGGGTGAGGACAAAACATGGACCAGGGGTCCATGGACCCCCACTTTGGACCGGGTACATGGGCCACTTTCACGGACCGGATCCATGAAAGTGGTCCATGGTCCGGGTCCATGGACCCCCTGTCATGGACCGCGTCCATGGACAGTTTTTTTAAATAATGAGAAATGAACGAAAACAGAAAAAGTGCAAAAATAAGACAAAAAAAAACAACAACAACAACGAACAATGCTCGATTGATCACTTAATTTAATTGTGCTTACATAGTGTAAAAAAGTGGCGGTCGGTAGGCAACTGAAACTACTTTTACCTCATGCCAAAATGCTGCTTGTTCCAATGAATTGTTTTCTCTGGTAGATCATGCTTTGGACGAAAACGTTTTGACTGTGCAAATGTGAATTTTTGCCACTTATTTCATACTGAGAGGCCGTGACACACATTGATTTTCTACCTCTTTTGAAATGTAAAGCTCTTCACTGCGGCTGATTAAGGGTTTTAGTTTGTTTAATTACTGCAAAGTGCCTCCTGGATCTGAATAATTCTAAGTCATTTTCTTTTTGTCCGTGAATGTCACTTTTTCCTGCAATGTTTTGTCACGCTGGGCCCAGCTCGTTAGCGTTTTTAGCAGGATGTTTAATTTCACGGATAGTGATTTACAGATTCAAATCTCAAAGAAGTGGATTGTAGCTTAAACTGACTACATCAGCTATTGAGAATTGCGATGTGACTCAGTCATGATTGCTCTAAAAGCAATGAATTCTAAAGTCTAGCCTGTTTTCTGACAGATAATGCGAGTTCTTTTATTAGAATGCGTAATTCCTCCCTTGGTGATACAGTAAAGACCCCCAACTAAGAACCTAAAAATTAAGAACCTGTTAGCCTAAAGTTGGTCATTTATACCCCCTATAAACAAGAACCTATTTAGCCTAAGAAATTTACAACAGGTTCTTATTTTCTAAAATCATACTAGTACATTACAGCTGCATTGCAAGAATCATATTTGAAGCAAAAAAAGCAGATTGCCATTGTTGTAAAAATGTTTTTTAAAGAAAAATGAGTGCAAGATATGTAGACTTAAAAAGCATACTAAGCAATATGTAGTATAGGCTAATGACCAACTTGTTTGCAGCTGTGTTTTAATTGTTTTTTCGCCAGGATTAAGAACCCATTTTAAGAACTTAAATAGCCTAAAATTCTGTTAACTACCATTTATATAAGAACTTGTTGAGGCTAACTCCTAAAAATGTAGGTTCTTAGTTGCGGGTTTTTACTCTAACCAATCTCGTCCCCAGAGCCTCCGTTACAAAAGGATTGCGGCCTCTGGGAACGAGATTGGAATTAGCTTAACAGTCTTGCGACTGCACATGTGCAAGCAGAGTGTACGTCAAGTAAGCTAAACTAAATATCTGTGATCAATCACGGTTGACAGCGTCTCGTCAAATCTTATTTTTGCACTTTTTCTGTTTTGTTCAATTCTCATTATTTAAAAAAAAAAGGGTCTATGGACCCCTGGTCCATGTTTTGTCCACACCCTTATATGAAAGCTAGTGGCGCTATAGTCTTAAGGTAACAGACTTGTTGTTTGCCTTCGCTTTTTGTAAAAAATAAACCAGGGAAACTCGCGTCCTCGCTCGCTGGCTGTTTGCTTTCTGTTAATTTCGACACATATATGTTATTGACCGGCTGGGTAGGGTTTCTGATTGGTCGTGCCACGTGGGAAATTTGATTTAGTGACAAAACTGGAGGTGCAACTCAAATTCCAACTAGAGCCCACTCTCCTCCAAAGAAGCTGTGGCTGTCCCTGGGTATTCCAAGTCGTCCCAGAGTCCTCTGAGGAGGAGAGCTTTTTGGGCCGGATCCAGAATTATAGGCTGTTCACAGACCAACTATTTTCTCTTTACAGATCGACGAAGGTGCGCATGAAGATAAAAACCGCCCTGGATTTATTAACCGCTCTCCGTGCTCGCGCGCGCGTCGATTTTCGAAAAAAAAATGGAAACGACGTTTGTGTACAGGTTGCCAGCTTTTTACATACTCTCTATTTTACTTGGAATTCTTAAACAATAATACAGTAACTACACTTTGAAGTTAATTCACTTAAACCTTAACTGGGCTAAGACCAGCAAAGTCAGTAAAAAAGTTATTTATCATTGATAATGTAATTACTTAAGATCTTTCTACGACAAGAGACTGCCTCGTTATGAAGAAACAGGCAGGGGACTATTTTTTAACGTTTTCTTTCTTTGAGTGCGCTCGATTCAGTGATCATATTTCAGAATAAGAATACGCAAACGTTTTGTTACGAATCCCTTATACCGTGATTTATTTACGCTACATAAATCAAACTACTTGATTTCAGGCATATTTCTAATTGCAATACAATAAATGCCAAACAAGTGATTGTTCCATATTTTCTTATTCCGTGGTACAGTCTATAGGATAAGCCTAAATTAATCAACTAATAGCGATACTCACGCTGACGCCACCTATTGATATTTATTTGCTAACCAGATTAGCATTGGTTCTTGAAACTGAAAAGATTCTTTAGTTGCAATCGTTAAAAATCAATAACAAAAGCAATATTTGTAAACAGTGATGTCTCCTATTGCTAGCTTGCGTATCCGGCTGGATCATTAGCGCGAGCAAAATTTTGGCACTGTACTGGGAAACCGTGTGGAGATTGGAGAGGAAACGCTTTGAAATCCCTCGGCGCTCGCTTCTCGCGCGATAATGGCGGCTTCGCCGCTTAAACTCTCAGACGTGCAAAAAAAAACAAACAAACAAACAGAAAAACAATAGTTTCGCCGGCTAAGTAGGCTAGCTAGCAGCGAGTTCTATGCGTCTTACACATTATTTTTGATATTGTTCGATATATCTATTAGCGTGTCAATAAATTTTTGCTGTTATTGCTTGTAATAAGAGCCCGACCATTTGACTTTTGCGTGGGGCCGGTATGGGTGATTTGAGCGAGTAAAAAATCCTACAGACTGATTTCGAAAGAAAAACTGAATGTATTGCAAGGAAATTAGCTGGGAAAAAATTCTTATACTGACAAAAAAAAACTTCTTTCATGGCGTATAATTCTGGAAAAAATATTACACCTTTGTATGTCAGGGAAAACATTCTATCACCAGAGGTTTGGGAAAAAAATTCTTACTTAAACCAAATCATCCATCTCCCCTCCCCCTCAAAAGTCAAATGGTCGACTCCCTAACATGTGAATAGCTAGTACACGACGTTGAGCTCTGTTTATTGAAGCTACGTTCACACAGCACCAGTCAAATTTTCGACCGATAGAAAATTCTCACGTTTATTTACTGGTTGTTCCGTTCCCACGGAATTTCCCCTTGACCGTACGGAAATTTAGATGCCTAGCCGTTCAAAGTTCGTTGTGAGCAGAGCGAAAACATTAAACAGTCACGTGTGAAGGAAGTATCCAGTAAATCTTTTTAAGCCGGTCGAAAAATTCGTCCTTGCTGATTATTTTTGTTACACAGCAATGGTTACTCAAAACTGAGTTCCAGAGAGGTATTAGAAGAGGCGAGAAAACATTTTTCTCCTCAAAATAATCCACCAACACAATTATATAAAACAGATGGAAATCTAACCTACATGTCCTATACATAAGATTTATTGTTTTTTACGGTCGAAAGATATGTCAAAATACTAGAGCTGTGAGTAGTTGTTGTCGCTAAAAATGGACCATGAAGGCTGGTAGTTGAGGTCCCTGAACTGATTGAGGTAAAAGGGCCACTAGTTGAGGTCCCCGAACTAAAAGGGGAGAAGGAACAGGCAGTTAAATTTCCTAGCTCTTCCTCTTTCTAACCTACTTTTTCTCCCGCCTTTCTTATCTTCCGGCCTTTTCTCTCTTCTCTCTTATTTTTTCCCTTTCGGCCCTTGTTTGAGAAGTAACAGTTGTTTTGTTACTCTTTTTCCTTCGATTTAATATGTATTATTTAGCCTTTTCTGATTAGCTTAAAATTCCTAGCTAGTTTTTCATAACATGCTATGGCTGATCAAATTTTGAAGTATTGCATCAATTGTCCAATAACAGATCGTTATTGGCAAAAATTGATATCAGAGGCGTTCTGTTTGCCAAATAAGCGCCAAAATTTTTCGAAAAACTTTTCATGATTTTATTAACGAGGACGAAACAGCTAAATAATTGACCCGAACTAAAAGATCTACCAAGAATATGCAAAAAAAGTTGGATGCCCACTGCCTATCGCAGCCGAATATCTGTATAAAAACTCACTCATTCACACTATCTCAGTAGCGGTGCGTAACTAAGAGGCAAGGTATTCGCAGGCAGGTCACCAAGTGATTTGGATGCATACAATAGTTTCAAAGGTAAATTGCTGGTCCTCGTCAGACTCTAAATCATGTGCAAGTGATATGGTGGGATGATTATATATTAAAATTTGCACCCTTTTAGTAATCCCTTGCCTGCGAACGCAGCCATTTCCGGTCGTGGCTCCTGTCCACCCAAAACGTGGAGGGAAACGACGACCGGGACAGTACCTCCACGTTTGTAGGCTAAGCTGTTCCTTGATTTAATCAAGAGAAATCATGGTACCAGAAAGGTCCTCTAACTTGCTAGCATCCACATGTCTGTACAGGTACATTAAAACGACCAAGTACCTTCCTGAGGAAGTTTATCAACATCATCTTCACTAAAATCCGACCATCTTTACCTTTATCGGCTTGGACATCAATCTCAACCAGAGAGCTATTATCTTACATTATTCATTTCCCCAATTCATCAAACTTATTCTTATCTCTACAGTAGTCTCAATTGGATACTAAAGTTGAATTTTAGTTGAAATATATTGTGGAATAAAACAAAGGCGCAGTGAAGTGAGGTAAGGGAAGCGTTCACACTTGCTGCCTGCGCTCATTGCCCACGATTATAGTGCGTGCTGGGCACTAATGTAAGCACGGCCATGTTTTCAAGTACCCACACTAGAATGCGACAATTTATAGAAAACCAACCATTGCTGCGAGAGATTTTCCAAAGACCCTCTAATAATTTTCTACAGATCGAAAAGGAGAGCCATGATTTCAAGAGATACTTGTACAAGCTTAACTATGAAGGCCGCAGAACAATCTCTCTTCAGTTGCACCTACCGGCGGAAACTTTAGGACCCTTAGCTAAAACTAAGGCAGAGTTTGTGATTTGAAAGGATGAAAAAAAATATCTCAAATATTGATAATTGTAGTAAACAAAAAATATTTTCTCCCTTCTCCTTCTCCCGATTTCTTCTACCTTATTTTTAGGGTCATTTTGCCTTTCTCCCTCTTTGTTTTTGGTCGTTTCCCACTTCTTCCTTAAGCGAACCGATTGAGCTAAAAAAGCCAGGAGATGGCGTTGGGGCCCCAAAGGTGAATGAAGTAGCGCAGCTGTCAGTTGAGGTCACCGAACTGAATAAAGCAGTGGAGATGGTAGCTGAGGTCACCGCAACCATTGAAGGAGGGGAGCGGGTAGTTGAGGTCCCGAAAGTGAATAAATTAGGAACCGCGTAGGTAGCTGAGGTCTTCGAACTGAATGAAGCAGGGGAGCTGATAGTTGACGTCCCCGAACTGAATGAAGCAGGGAGGCTAGCAGCAGTGGTCCCCAGACTGGATGAAGCAGGGGTTTTAGTAGTTGAGGTTCCAAATCTGGGAAGAGGGAGGTCAACTATCTTGTTTATATCCTGAAGAAGTGTAATCAATTTCTCGTCAAAGTGGAAACCGCCCCCATACACGTGTTCCTTAACAACTCCTGTTGGGACAGCCTGGACAGGGAGGGATTCAGAGGCATCCTCTTGGGTTATGGTTTGAACTTGTTTGTAAGATGACGAAACTAACTGTGTAATCATATCTCTACAACCAAAACAACTGTTGATCCGCTGAAGAAGACCAATATGTGCAGCTCTAGAACCGAGTGATTTCCCAGGTGGCAGGTGTTGAGGGCAGCGAGTTACACAAGGAAAAGGCGATTCTAGTTTTAGGTGTAAACAATATTCCACTAACCCAATCAACTGAGGATGAACGTCCTTAATAAAACTTTCTAAACGTTCAGTTCTCTTAACAAAAACTTTTTCCATGCTGTCTCGGTTCAGATTCTTAAAATCACCCTTTGCAGTGATATTGGCAAGGTCCATGTCTTTGACGAGGATTTCGCAATCTCTGCGAACGCTATCAAGCCTAGAATCCTCACCAGCTTTTAGTGTGTCTGTTGCCAGATATAGAATCTTCACCACATTCTCCTCAGACTTTGGCACATCTTTGAGGCACTTGACGCAGAGATCGACCACACCCTGTACTTCGTACTCATCAGCTAGCTTCAGAAGGTGACCCATTTTGTTTACTAATCAGTAACAGAAACCAAAACCACAGTTAGACAGATAGGGAAAACAAAAACAAAAAGAGAAGAACAAAGGGCGAAGGACGGGGAGATTTTTAGTACTGCATTGCGCATCCTTACTGCGTGTTAGTTCAAGCGCGCGAAATTATCACCCGCAAATTAAAACATGGTTGGCTTTTGCCTTAAGGCTGGAGCCTCCTAGAGAGGTAAATGACCCATTTTTTGTTTTTCTCTTTTTCAAAAAAAATGAACAGTCACTTTCTTTCTCTAGAATAAATATAGAGTAATTTTCAGTGCTGAAAAAGAAACAGTCGTAGGAAACTGGCATCAAAACATGTACATGTGTTTTGAAACGATTTTTTTGTCAAACGCAGTGTTTTGATTGGCTTCAGTATCAAAGAGGCCAGTAAGACTTAAATTCTTTTCCAAATGGAGGAAGATATATCGCCGACTTCATATGACTTAAAATGTCACCGGAGAAAGCAGTTCAAAATTTAAACTGGTAGTGAATGCGTATGGATGCTTTGTTGAGTCCAATGAACACAGTGAAGGTCATATAATTGCGAAACGTCTAAGCACCAGGTGAGATTTTCCTGAAGCCCGATTCGACTGTGAAATGTTTTGATTACTCAATCTATTATTTTGTTTTAATCCTTAGGAAGCTTAGGTATGTGTTCGCGAAAAAGAATAAGCGAGAAGTTGTGTTTGCAAAGCGTCGAATCAGCACTGCGTATAGTCTTTTCGATGTAATCGCTGTGTTACAGTTCCTTTAGGTTTGGCTAAGGACTGGTTTGCTAATAATAGTTCTCGCTACTTTAGAGCGATACGCCAGACGATAAGTTTACGTTAAGGATATCACTCGCTTCGTAGGTTAAATTAAATAAAGCATTGTTCATGTTAGATTGACTCGCTTGTTTTGCTTTCGCTTGTTTGGGATTGCATCATATACATTGCAAACCACCTTAGCGATATATAATGTCTATAGTACAAGGACATACATTACATTCCTAAGTATTTTTAAGGCACGTTCTCTACTTACAAGTAATGCCTTCTGTTTCTTTCAAGTAGAGAACCTTCAGGAAATCCAAAACCTCTTTTGCCTTTTTTCCTGCTAATGGAATTTCTGTGGCCGTTCTTTCTTTCTGTGAACTGAGCATTGCTTTAAACACTGGTGAGTGTAAACTCAGTATCTGTCGATGGACATAAAATGTCTCATCTTCCACCGCGAGCACCAAATCACTATCTTCCCAAGGTTCTGAAAATGGATGCTTTTCAATCCGTTGCTCTGGTTGCTTGACGCATTCGGCTTCTTTCTCTACAATGCAATACAATAACCTTTATTTAACGTGGTCAATGTTCTTAGCTAATTAGCTACTTTACAGACATGCCACGAAAAATAAATAAATAAACTAGAAATGATAATAGAAAGAGAAGATTTCTCATAAAAACCTATATAAAAATATATGTATACAGTTAAAAATGATTAACACTAAGAGTAGATCACGAGATTATTACATAATGATGTTAAAACCAAACAAAATGTATTTATACATGTATTTAGGCGATTAAAATGTAAAATTTGAGAAATCCAACTTTGACATCAAGTTCTTAAAGGAGCTGTGTCACGAAATTCAGCCAAATTAGGAAATTAGAAAATGCCCGTGAAATTAAGCGAAACATAAAAATAACCGCTTAAAAACTTTAAGGGAAAGTTAGAATAAAATAACATAACAGAAACAACAGATGCCACGAATGGGCAAAACTGAAGAAGATTGGAAAGGATTGAAATTAGGGTTTTTGAAAACTGTTCAGCCTAACAGTTCTTCAAAGTTAATCCCTGCTGCTTGCAACTTCAAAAATAATGCTCAGGAGTACATATTTGTTTGTCTCGGATCTCTGATTTTGTCATTTGCATGTAATTTCTTTGCTTACTTTAAGTTCCGTAGCGCGGTGAGGGCGAGTAATTGGCAAAATTAAGCAAAATGAACTGGACTGCCGTGACACAGCCCCTTTACATGTTCCGATTTTATTAGCGGCACGAAACTGACCCGGAAGAAAAGATTGCAGAGAACTGATGTTAAGCAATCTAGGTGGGGCGTAGCCTGAGATCATGCCCTCTCCCTATTATCCCTTTATGTCTCTCACGGGAAGAGGGCATGATACATTTCTTTGTCGGATCACATGTAAAAATGCCAGAATCTGGACTTTTTTCTGATTGGATAGGAAACAATGCGGATGATTTGCGCTGTTCCGATTGGCCAAAATGACGCCATCCGTTAGTTGTTGTTGATTTCAGTCTGCATTTTTGCTTGCGTAATAAGCAGTGAATACACACGCGAGTTCGTTATGAAATTTCTGCCCGCTCAGTTTTCTTGAATTTGCAGAATGCCTAAATAGAAGTTTCATCCATTGAAATATTTACCATCTCATCGTATACCAAAACAGTTGCAGTCAAAACTTCACCGATCATTTGAATGCAATTTGATACCGGCTACAAGTTCCAGAAGCGACAAACGGGTTCACTTTTCAAATAATCAATTCATGAATGGAATCTTGACCTGGTTTGACTGTATTTCCTCTTTCAGAAATCATGCTGCGAATTATTCTGAGCGATCTTCGCTTTCACAACACCTTTCAGTTCGTGAAATATGGTGCTTCAGCCTAATTTTTTTTCCACTGCTTTCGGTACAGAACGAAGTCAACGAGCTTTAACCAGTAAATTCTTTATTATTTGTAGCTATTCATAAAGGTACGACAGCTCCAGCTAGCAGTATATTTCATCTCAAAAACAACACACAATTTTTTTTTTTTACGAAGCGCCATCTGAACACGGACGCACTTAAAAAATTTTTTTCCCTAAAACTGATTTCAAAAGAGACATTATCCGCGCCAAAATTTCATTCCCGTTTGGTAAACGCTTATTGGCTAAAAACATGACAGGTCAAGCAAACGTTAGATTATGTAAATTAGGGGGCGGCTGACTGCTTGTTAAATAAATGTATCAGGCGTTATTTTTTTTCCCTCTCGAGCCAAAAAAGCAAAAAAAAAAAAAAAAAAGACGCCTGATCGCAGGTTAGGTGGGGCGTTGATTAGCGTTTATTTTTGGAGACGTCCAAAATAAGTACTGCATGACTTTTGGAGCAGGGGCGGATCCAGGATTTTTTTTAGGAGGGGGTGCACTCGTCTCTTGCTCTACTTCAATACCAATAAACCACATAGCTTTTTCTTTTGCAGAATACCAGTTGTATTAGAAAACCGCAGGTCATCTCAGGGGGGGGGGGGGTTCGCACCCCCTGCACCCTCTCCCTAGATCCGCCCCTGTAGAGGTTAGTCATGGGTGATTGTAGTGAGAGAATGTTGAGATTTTGGTTCGAACTGTAAGTTTTAGATCTTCGAGAAGCATTGAAGAAATTCTCAACAAGATGAACCAATTATCACATATATGACGTTCAGTTATTCAAAATATTTCTCCGTTTCTGATTGGCTAAAATCACTCGCATAACTCATCATAACCAGCTACTGTTGACCAAATTTGGAAGAATTTTGCCATATTCAACCGATGACGTCAAAAGTGCGGCAAAGTGGCAGATTATTCAACCGTTAACCGAGAAGACCTAAGGACAAGTTTGAGTTGTTTTCGAAGCGAGTAATGGCAGAACGTTTTACTCATTTCACGGCGAACTATTGTCTAAAACATGGTAAGAACATCAAGAGGAAACCTCGACGGACGACATCTGCTGTTTGGAGTATGTTTGCAGACCTGAACAGCCCTTTATCTCCTAAACTTCCTGATAAAGATGTACTAATATTTTTTCTCGAAAGAAAAGAATTTGCAAAGAATGATTTGCACTCGCCATAGCACGAGCAGATTAAAGCACTCGCACTCACGTCATTCCCCTGCTATCTGCGAGCAAAATATAAAACAAATGGTAAACAGCTCAGCTTGTATTATTGAGTTATAGTTGCCGACTTGGCAGGGGCGCCCAACGACTGTTTCCTCCTAAATACATTGAAAACACTTTTTAGGCTATCCAGAGTTCTTCTACAGCTCTAGAAATGCATTCTAAGCGGAGCTATAAAATTTGTATCGGTTCGGTCATCCTAGGGGAACTTGAGTCTCGAAATTACAAGGGCTTCAGTTTTGTCTCACCGAAAATTTTAGATGTAATTTAACGTATTACGAAAGTGAGAATTTTACTAATCCCTCTCTTCATCACAGTTTTGAATCCTAAATTTTAGGTTTCCTTTTTATGTACGAAAAATGGCCTAACCTGAGGAGTGAAATGTGAAAAATTAAGCTTTAGAAAATCATAGGGAATATATTAGATAAGCTTTGAAAATTCTACATGAATGAGTCATCTAGAAATTTTTAGCCGTCCTCAAGTAATAGAAAATTCCATGCGATATTTGCTTCTCTGAACAGAAAACAGTCGTTGGGTGCCCCTGAGTTGGGAAGATTGCCAAGCATTTAAGAATCTAGAGCCGCAGTTGGCCGGACTCTTACGCTTCTCTCGTGCTTAGCAACCTCCTGCGTGCAGTTATAACTCAATAGTACATGCTGAGCCATTGACCATAACTTTTGTTAGATATTTGTTTTGAGCAGGTGTTTCTTTTCTTAGATTATACGATACTGAGACAGAAACGACTTAGGACCGACTTGGACAAAGATTTTTTTTCTCATTCGAACTTTAGTGCCCTCCCAACAAAGTATAAAACATTGCTACCAGTTACCTTGGGACGCAAATCAAAGCATACCTGTTTCTCCATCGCTTCCGCTTTCACTTGGTGCTGAGGCTTTAGGTGACGCTGACCTGGATAAATTATCCATTGTAAGTTCTGATCTCTCTCCAAGTTAATAATGCTGAAACAAGACAATCAAAAAAAGGGAGTAAGAAACGATTAGCTTAGGTCCAGTTCCCACAAAGTTGTTGCCAATTGACTGTATCTGCAGCACTGTGTGACCTACCGTATCAAAGGACAAAATACTGAACGCTTCGCAGGAATTGAGTACATCATAGTGGTTAAAAACACTTCTCGGAATTAGAAGACAATTCTCGGAATTAAATACACTTTCGAGAATTGTATACACTTCCGGGAAATTAAACGCACTTCCTAGAATGAATTTTTAGTTCTAGTTCCGAGAAGTGTTTTTCAGGAAACTGTACGTGGCAAGGCTGGTTAACAAGTTTTGCCGAAGATTTTTCCTTACTCAAGTTCACGACTATATATTATTAACAGCCTTTCCTCACATTTCGCTCTGGTGAGTAAACATAATGAAACGATCAAGGTCGAGGCTTGGTTGGCATACACAACACTGTAGTATTTTGTCACCCCAAGCCTTGAGTTGGCGTCTTTGCTCACTGGAAGTACAGATATGTACGAACTATTTCCACAGACGCAGTTTCCGCTTTGAGAAGGCTTTGTGGTCAGTAGTTAATTCAGTCGAGGAATGTGTCTCTTCGCTCTCAAGGGAAAAATAGTTTCAGCTATTCTGGTGCATTTCTTTAGAATAGCTTTCCCGTTGACGGCTGGGGTAGGTGACTGACTTTCTTGAGGTCGTTAGGGCTGGCTTCAAGTCGTTCTTCCGAGGATTTATTTACGTCACACTTGTAGGTATTAAAAGGCAGGCCCGCAGGGCTATTAAGCTTAAGATAAAACTTGCATTCAGAAAGGGGAAAATTCTCGGAAGTTTCCTAGTTTGAGTCGTCAGTCGAGTTGTCCTCTTGCTGTTCTTGTCATGTTTTTAGACAATAGTTCGCCGTGAAATGAGTAATAAGTTCCGCCGTTACTCACTTCGCCATTTCCCACTGCGAAAACAACTCAAACTCGTCCCCAGGTCTTCTCGGTTAACGGTTCAATAATCTACAACTTTGCTGTACTTTTGACGTCATCGGTTAAACATGGCAAAATTCTTCCAAATTTGGTCAACAGTAGCTGGTTATGGTGAATTATGGGTACGATTTTAGCCAGTCAGAAATGGAGCAATATTTTGAATGAATAATAATCACTTTTATCTTACAAAATTGTCCCGCACTAAGCTGAGCCAGGCTCTTCTTTCCCTTGGTAAGAAGATTTTCAGATGGGAAAGGAGAATCGAAAAGTCTCGCATTTAATGCAGAACGTGTATACCCTCACATGTGCATTCACGTGATTACCGTGACAATCAGTGGACCTTAAATTCAACGCCAGGCCGCTCGCATCCACATCCCATGAAAATTAGTACGCAGAACATGAGCATCCGAAGAATGTGGACAGATTTTTTAAAATCTCGAAATATAGTTTATTGAGGACCGCTAACCAAGAATAAACTATGGGC